TCCCTTTCACTCTTAGGAGACAATTTTGCTTCCTACTTCATAGTGAAAGCAGGACTACCAGCTAGAATTTCCTCTACTTTTGATTACAAGACCTCAAAGTGTATTTGTGCTCATTTGTTTATCCTTATTCCTGTTAATGTGAAAGAAGGGATGTGCTATTCCTTCAAGTGTATGATGGATTCTATGCCTTCCTTCCTACTTGGAAACCTCTCTCATTGTTATTTTTTATGTATCCACATCCCATCACTTTCTACATACGCTTTCCAGTTATTATTTAGACCAACTCAAATTTCTATCTTTCTTCTGAAACAAGCTCACAAGAGTAAGAAGGCAATAAAAAATCTCCCTCAACTTCAGTTCCTCTCTTCCTTGTATTTGTATTTGTTTTGTAATAGATTGGTTTGTACTTTCCATCTCTGCTTTTTCACCTCTTACTTATTAATTAGCCCATAGGAAGTAGAGGCAGAGATCACCATCTGTGCCACAAATGATGCTACAAGAACAAGTACAACTGATGAAGGGCCATTTAGTTTGAATACAAAGACACCATTGCTTCTTTTACTCAGTATATTTTTGAGATTTATCTCCACTGTTACATAGTTTCAGTAGTTTTTTTGCTGGGTAGTATTACACTGTAAGAATAAATCACAGATGATCAGTTCTTTTGTTGATCAACACTGGGACTGTTTCTAGTTTTTGACTACTAAGAATAAAGCCATTACAGCCATTCTTGTACAATGCATTTTTGTATCCATATGTATTTAACTCTCTTAGATAAATGTCTAGGAGTAGAATTACTGGTAGTTAACTTTGTAGGAAACTGCCAAACAAGGTTGTACGGTTTTGTATTACCATCAGCAGTTCCAGCTGTCCCCCCCCTCCATTATTTTATATATGCATTTTTTTATTTCAATAATTCTAGTGAGTATGTAGTTGTATCTCAGTTCTAATTTTGATTTGCACTTTGCTGATTACTAATGGTGTTACGAACATTTTTGTGTGCTTATTTGCCATTTGTATATCTTCTTTGCTGCAGTTTCTGTGTTCAAGTCTTTTATCTTTTTTGGGTTTGCATTCCTTATATTATTGAGTAGTTCGTTATTCATTCTTGATGCAAATTCTTTTGTTAGATACATATATTATGAATACTTTTTGTCTATAATCATCTTTTTATTTTCTAACTTGTCTTTTGATGAGCAAAAATTAATTTTGATGTAATCCAGTTCATCCTAATTTTTATTTTATAGTGCATGCTATCTGTAATCACTTCAAGAAATATATGCCTCTCCAAGGTCATGAATATAATCTCTTTTTTCCCCTGGTAACTTTATTGTTTTAGCTCTTTTGTTTAGGTCTGTGATCTATCTTCAATTGATCTTCTTATATGATATGAGATAGGGATCAAGTACTATTTTATTGTTTATTTTGTTTTTCATAAGGATTTATGAAACATTTGTTTTAGTGCTATTTGTTTTTACTGTATTTGTTTTAGTTTCATAATTTGGGTGGAAGATGTGTCCCAACAACTAAGATTCCTTTCCTGGAACATGACTTTTTGGGTTCAAACAGATAACTGTCCTGTACTTTTAAATTTTTATAACAATATTGGCAAGTGATCAGGAAATCATCCTTTTGCATATTTAAATCTTTACTTTTCTGCAACTATAAAGGACATTAATTTGGCAAACTTAAGGTGGACTGATCACTTTGATCTCTGAAAACTTTAGAGGTACCATTGTTTAGCTCTCCAGTTTTATACGGTAAGAATTTATTCCTTGTAATTACTTGTCTCAATATTATATTTACTTAATATGTTATTAATTAACATACAATAGTAATAAATATAATTAATTGAAATAGTTAATATTATGTACCATAATATTAATTTTATATTATGATAGTATATGCTGTTAACTTTACACTTTGGTAGTCTCTCAAATGACCTATTTTGTATTTCCTTAAGTGTGGAGAATTACCTCTGGAGAATTGAATCGTGAATGATGCCTCTTAGGCAAGGTCTGAGTGATTACTCAGTAGAGATGCCCCTAGTGTACAATATTAAAATATAAGTTCCATAAGTGGGGATGTACTGAAAGGATATTTAAAGCAAATTTCAGAACATGAGAAAAATTCATGAAAATGTGAATGAGCTTGTCAAAATCATGGAATTAAAAGTTGAATTTGATAGTGCACTGGAACATAAATAGGAAACAACTGACAGACTCAGATCATTGATGGTTCTTTATACTAAGGGTTTTTGCTTTATCTAGGAAATATGTCATTATTTGAATGACTCAGTTATATTTATTACGTGAACAACTTTGGATGTTTAATACTCTGAAAACAGTGTATATGCCGTAAGATCAGGGACAGATGTCTTCCATGTTTACTATTACATCTCCAGCATTTAGCATGAGGTTGTATTTTCTTGATTGGTTCTCAATTTTGATCTAGCTGTAGCCAAATATATTTTCTTTCTATAACTAAGAGTTTTCTTAAGTAAAGGTCTTTCTTTTAGCCTTAAAAATGGAGATAATTATTTTTTATGTGGTCATGGGTTGAATTTTTGCTAATAACCTGTGTTTTGATATGTATTTAAATATCACAGTCTGGATTTAATGCTTTTTCTGGGAGCAGAGACATATGTGAAAGCTTCAGGTTTCTTATTTCCTTACTCATTCTTTCTGGATTTCATAATAAAGGTATAAATGAGCAACACAATAACTTGTTTGGAATGTGATTGAATGTAATACTTACCTTTGTTTTTAAAGGTCACATATCATGCTTAAAAATATAGATGACCAAATTGCTGTGCAAAATGCAGGTTAAGACAACTTATTACAAACAAAAATGCTGTCTTTAATCTTAAAAGTCCTAAAGAGTGTAAAGCTTTAGACAAAAAAATTAACTGAATTATTTTAAAGTACAATTTAGGTATTAAATAAAATTAACATTTTTTCTTCTTAAATATGTGTTATCAAGTTTCAAGAATGTTGAAAACTTCTCTGATGATTTAATCTGAAATCATTCCTACAGCAAAATTCATAAATAATAAATATTATCTTAATAATCCATATTTTAGTTGAGCTGGGTCTCAGAGCAAGTTAGTTCCTCAGGGAATGTGGTGTTCTTTATAAAAGAAGGTGATGAGGCATAATCTCCAAGGAATTAAATTGTGAAAACAATCTTGGTATTGTACATGCTAATATAAATCTGTTATTCCCTTTCCGCATCTATCACAACACATTTTAAATTGTGGCTGATCTTGTATGCAAATAGCTGTCTTATTAGAAATTGCGGCTGTGTGTGCTAGTGTCTCCCTGGATTTCTTGGGAGTTTGCTATCTAACCATCAAAGCAATAGAAACGAATGGTAATTACTGTGAGGCTTTAAAGAACAAAGAAAAGTCAGAACATTTTAAAGGTTCTAGATGTCTGAGACATTGACAATCTGCACCATACAGCTGAATGGGTATCTCTTTAGATAATTTAAAAGCACCTTGACAATATTTATCAGTAAGGTAAAATATTTCCTTTTTTTGTGTTGGTGCAGCTAATAAAATGTAAGTAATTTGTGGAAGTGTGTATTCTTTAGGAACTTTTTGTTTAGTAATTTGGTAAAATGTTATGCTTAAGTAAAGAATATGATAATTTCAAACAAAATTTACATTTTTGAAATTTTGATTAAATATTACCAAACCACTAATATAACCAAGAATAAAAATTTAAAGCCAATTTCTCTTTAGTGTCTCCTTACTTGAAACTCTTTTAACGTTTTTGTATTCAGAGATTGTTATACATTATAGTGTCTTTATAAAGCATATCTCTTAAAAAATTTGGATTATTAAGTTTTATTCTGATATAATTTTGTTATGTAAAATAGTTTTACAAATAATTAAATTCAGTTTACTTTGGTGAAAAGATTTTTTTATAGTTCCCTTACTTTTTGATTTACTGCAGGTAGTGAATGAATAAAATATTGACCTCTACAATAGTAGCTCTGTTGAGATATTGGTTTAAATAACCAAGAAGGAATTGAGAGAAGCATAATAAGTAACTATTTTGATGGATAGACTTTGTGGTGTGCATGTATTTATTTATTTATTTATTTTCGAATGCAAGCATATTCTATAAAGGCAAATAACAATACTAAATTGAAGAGGGAATAATGTCTTGTGTACTTATGCTTTTAAGCTAACTAAAGTGATATCTTTCCTAGCTTTACACAAATAAGATTAAAATAACTTGACTCCTCTTTACAATTAATAAATGCAAAACACCATGCAAATGGAATTGCTATATGAATAAATTATAATATATCTATTTACATTTTATGATACTTGTCTTGACATAATTATTTTTAATGTTTTGAATTATAACAAGTAAGACTATAGAATTAAGTGATGTCTTGGTTTTATTTCTAATATTTTAAAGATGTTTTATCTTAGATTTAATAACTACATGGTATATTGAAGACTTAATTTATTTGACTTTCTGTCTTAAGTTGTGCATTTCCAGATATTGCCACAATACTCTAAATATGAAAATCATTATGATAAAAAAATAGAGTTTTAGGTGAACTTATAATTTTATTACACATAAGTAAAAATTATTGTTAAGGATGCCTTTTACTGCATTGTAGGATCATTGTTAGCTATCTATGTGATGACATATAAACAATACAATAAATAAATAACATAATTTTTTCTGGACAGATTTAAAATCCATTTAGTGTTTGAGAACCTTAATGCTCAATAGAAAAATTATAATTTGATAATTATATCAGTTTATATGAAGACATTTATACTTATTTGTTTTAGAGTGATATATGAGGAATAAGAGGAATATGTCAAATTGAGAAATATGATCTAATTGTGCCAGAAAGAAAAAGAGAATACAGAATTGGTGAGAGGATTGTATTCTTTGCTGCAATATTTAATTTATGCATTTCATGTGTATGTATATATGGAAATGCTTTAAGTTTATTTCTTGTTCTCACAGCAGTATGAAAGAAAAAAAAAAAAACAAGTTGGTTGGATAGGTCTCCTTCATGCAGTCATTAATGATCCAGGCTGTCATAAGGTCTGCCATCTTCATCACATCATTTTCAAAGTTATCCTGGAGGTCATCTCCATTTCAGCCAGATAAATGAGTATGCAGAGGAAATTTTTATAGGTCAGTTTTAGAAGTAGCAAACATTAATTTACTCACATTCTATTGACTGAAAATCAATGATATGCCTACAATTAGAATCAAAGGAAGTTGAGAAATATAGTCAGGTGTACCCAGGAACAAGAAGGAGAATGTGTATTTTAGTAAGCAGCAAACAGTTTTGTTATAGTCTACCTTTCTGCCCTGGAAATAGCCATGCACATTCTTTTTATGCCTTCCCATTAGAGAGAACCTCAAGTTCTCCATTTACTGAATCCAGCTCCAAGCCAAGGATCTCAAACCAATGCACAATCCTCTTTCTCAATTTGGGATGTAGTTTCTTGAGGTTTAGAGACTATGAAATTTACTTATTCTTCCCTAGTCTTACCAAACTCCTAAGAAATAATAATAAGCATAGGATATCTGCTTTATATCTTCAATAATCAATCCCACTGGTAAATGGAAGAATGGGAACCACCCAAAGGTGACATTGGTCCATCATAATGATGAAATCTGCTGCTCAAAAAACCACTGAGAAGACCCACTATACCAAAGTAGAAGCTTCTTGCTTGGATCCAAATTATGATCTTTTTATTTACTTTTTCATTGTTCTCCATGATTTTCCCCTCTGAATATTTCTACCTTTTTAGTAATGTATGAAGTGAATGTCATAAAACTTTATATAGAATTTACTTTCCTTGGGAACTGCTATCTACTGGTTTAAATATAGAGACCCAAGAGTTGACTTTCATACAAAGACTTTTTTAGACTAAATTTCTGATTTTTTAAATAAATATAGTTCCCTCAAATTTTGGAAACCTCCTTACCATTTCTACTCAGTTGCATATGCCAACAATCACAATGCAATTTCTTTCCTACAGCTAATTCTCATGTCTGCTTGCTTTCTATGCTTCAGAACCCCTGTGCTTCTCTCTTTTTATCCAATAGTGTCTATTTGAAGTAATTTGAAATAATAGGTTCAGGTGAGATGGTAACATTTTTAATCAGCTCTTTGTCTCTTTTTTTTTTTAAGTGGAAGAGTCTTAATGGGCCATTGGCCTTCAAAGCCTTTTTCTATTTCTTTTACTGCTATTTGGTTTTTAGAAGATGTTGGATTTTTCAAACTTGTTAGTCTTCAAATTACTGAGCTCTCAGCTCCCTATATTTTTGCTTGTGAAGTGACTAGTTCCTGCCCTATGTCATCTTTATCTTGCAGTTCCTCACTAGAAGCAGTGAGGAACAACTTCCAGGCACCAGAGTCTGTGTGCTTTGAAGAACACTTATGCCTGTAGCATTTATAGTCAATTGAAAATAAATGACATTCACATTGAGGAATATGTTAAATTGGGAAATATGGTCTAACTGTTCCAGAAAGAAAAAGAAAATTCAGATTTGGTGAAAAAGTTGTATTCTCTGCTGCAATATTTAAATTTAATCAAAATAATAAGGTTTGAAGAGCAGAAATAAATGAAATTGAGACTTAAAAATATAAAAACTCAACAAATGGAAAGTTGGTTTTTTGAAAAGATTAACAAAATGGACAAACTTTTAGCTTTATTAAGTTAAAGATAGAAAACCTAAATAAATCAGAGATAAAAAAGAAACATTAAATTGATACCACAGAAATATAAAGGATTGTTAGCAATTACTGTGGACAACTATATCCCAACAAATTGCAGGATCTAGAAGAAATGAATAAATATCTGGGCATATACAATCTACCAAGATTAAGCCATGAAGAAATAGAAAACCTGAACAGACCAATAATGTGTAACAAGATTGAAGCAGTAATAAAACATCTTTCATGAAAGAAAGACCCTGGACCCAGTTAATTCGCTCCTGAATTCTACCTAACTTTTTTTTATATTATAAACATAGCATTTAAAAAAGACCTAATGCCAATTCTTATCAAACTATTCCCAAAAATTGAAAAGGAAAGAACACTATCAAACTCATTTTGTAAGATGAGCATTACCCCAATTCCAAAATCAGATAAGGACATAACAAAAAGTAAAATTACAGGCAAAAATCCCTGATGAACATAGATACAGAGATCCTAAACAAATTACTTATTTTGAAAGCAAGATTTATTGAGACACATTAAACAGGTCATTCATCATGATTAAGTGAGATTCACTCCAAGGATGCAAGGATGGTTCAACATACACAAATCAAAACATGATATAGCACATAAACAGAATCAAGGATAAAAATCATATGATCATTTCAATAGATGCTGAGAAATCATTTGATAAAATTAAACATTCCTCCATGATAAATTAGTATTGTTAAAATCTATGTCACCCAAAGTTATATGCAGATTTAATGCAAGCCTTAACAAAATACTAAAGACATTCTTCACAGAAATAGCAAAAAGCATCCCTAAAATTCATATGGAACTCCAAAAGATTCTTATAGCTAAAGCAGTTTCTCAAAATAAGACAGACAAATGGTCAACAGGTATATGAAAAAATGTTCAACATCACTGATTATTGGGGAAAAGCAAATTAAAACCACTATGAGATTTCTCACCACAGTTAAAATGACGATTATAAAAAAGTCAAAAATTAACAATGTTGGCAAGGATGTGGAGAAAGAGGAATGCTTGTTTATTGTTGGTGAAAATATAAAGTTGTGCAGCCACAACTTTATGTTATGGAAGTTCCTCAAAAAACTGAAAATAGTGGTTCCAGTTACCTGGAAGGCTGAGGTGGAAGGATTGCCTAAGCCCAGCAGGTTGAGACTGCAGTGGCCATGAGTGTGCCACTGCACTCCAGCCTGGATGACAAGAGTGAGACTCTAACTCAAAAACAAAATAAAACAAAAAAACTAAAAATAAACTCACCTTATGATCCAGCTATTCTAATGCTGAAGAAGAAAGGAAATCCATATATGGAAGGGTTATATACACTCTCATGTTTATTGCAGCGCTATTCACAATAATCAAGGCATGGAATCAACCCAAGTTTCCATCAGTGGTTGAATAGATTAAAAAAAGTATTGTCTACACGAGGGAATATTATTCAGCCATAAAAAAATGAATTCCTGTCACTTGCAGCAAAATGGATGAGATTTAAAATCATTATGTTAAGAAAAATAAGCCAGGCACAGAAAGACAAAGATTGCATGTTCTCACTCATCTGTGGAAACCATAAAAGTGGAACTCAGGGAGGTAGACTATAGATTCACCAGAGCTGGTGAAGGGAAGAGGAGAGAAGGGGTGAAGAGGAATTGATTAAGGCGTACTACCAAAAATGCCACTTGATGAAAGAAATGATTTCTAGTATGCCTAGTAGTACACTAGGGAAATTTTAGTTAACAATAATTTATTATATATTTCAAAATATCAAGAAGATTTGTTAAATTCTCAACAAAAAGAAAATATAAATGTTTGAGTTGATGACTATTCCAGTAACTAATCATTACACATTATATACATATATCAAAATATCATGTGTACCCCCAAAATATGTACAACTAAGTTAAAAATATAATTACAATTTTAAAAATTAAAAAATAGGGCTTGAATGATATGTTGAAGATTAAATCAAACAATGTATATAATGTGACAAACATGAGAATATTAATAAATGATAGTAATTTTTACTGTCCGCATTGAGAGTTAGAACTAGAAGTGGAAATCTATTCACTTCAGTTGCATATGTCATGCTTTATTAAACAAAATACAAAATACCTGAAATTCAAATTTTAGCCTTTTTGTATTACATAGTAAGTGACTGGGAAGAGACATGCTGACAAGAACATACCCACATCTCCAACCCATCTGAAAAAATAGCACATGATTTTCATTTACAGGTAATATTCTCTACCAGTGTGGTTTAATTTAGCATTGACAGTACTTGATAAAATGAATGTTACCAAGAACAAATGATTGGGAAATTTAATTACCAGCAATTGAATTCATGATAATGCTCGAGAGAATTTTGTGTTCTTTATGGTTATCTACTCAGAATAAGTCAAAGGCGATTTTTACCTATTGCCTTAAAAATGAATTTTATGGAATAAATTATTTCTGAATATTGTAGATCGATTTTTAAAATTTAATCATAGTTGTTTTGTTTTTAGCAGGCATTTTGGAGATCAAAGATGGGTAGAAAAGATGCTTCTACTATAAAACTTCCTGTTGATCAGTACAGAAAGCAAATTGGTAAGCAATGAATACTCTTTGATAGATTTCTATGAACTAAGATAAATAAAAAAGCAATTATGCATGATATTAAGATAATACATTTTCTCTAATACATATGACACACTGACATACAGAAATATATAAATAAAAAAAGACTTTGTAGGGTTTTATAGGAGCAAAAAGTAAATGTAACCCTTCTTACCAGTGGAGATATATAATCCATGTATTTGTGATTTTTCAATGCTCTTATATTTTTTATTAACTTAATAAAACAAAAAATAAACATTATTATTCTTAAGGCTAGAAGTTTTTATACAGTGTTTTAAATTTATCATTTATTAAATCATTTGTTTTTATCTATGTAAAAACTTTTAATTGTGTTGACTCTAAATGTCAATTTGATAGTTTCAAAATTATTTTTTTAATGTGCTGAATAAAAAGAATAAATATCCTTTTAAATGGAGAGCAGAGTTCAAAAAAATGAAGAAAACTCTTTGGGGTCATAAGTAAAAGAAGGCTTAGGGGAGACGGGATAAAGGTATTTCAGGCATCCACTGGGTATCTTGGAATGTTATCCCCACAGATTTGGACAAACTACCATATATGGATTGCAAATATTTTCTCTGTCTGTAGAGTGCTCTGTCATTTTGTTGATTGTTTCCTTTGCTATGTACAAGGTTTTTCATTTGATGTAGTCCCACTTGTTTGTTTATGCTTCAGATGTACTTTTGGTGCCTTTAGTGTCCCATTCAAAAAGTCATTGCCAAGACCAATATCAAAGAGTAGTTTTATAGTTTCAGGTTTTATATTTAGTTCCTTAATCCATTTGAGTTAATTTTTCCCTATGGTGTACTATAAAGATCCAAGTTCTTTTGTATGTGGATATCCAGTTTTCCCAGCACCATTTACTGAAGTGGCTATTCTTTCCCCCACTGTGTCTTTGTGGTGCCCTTATTGAAACCAACTAAGAATTTGCATGCAGAAAAATTAAGTCCTACTATGTATAGATAAAATAGTCTATAAACTCAATAGGAAAGATGGAAAAAAATATGAAGAAGTAATTTATAAAAGAGGAAATATTCAAATAAACCCCAAATAAAACAAACCAAGCAACTGCTACAATTAAAACTGAAATAAAAAAATTTATTCAGATATCTTACTCACCAAACTCATAACCTTGTTGTGGGAGTACAGTGATGTGCATTATGTTCCCAAACAAATTTATCTTTCCTTTGGACTTTCTCTTGAAAATATAAGCAGGAACAAGATATACCTATCTCACAGAATTCTGTGAAATCCTTAAAAGTTAGATCCATTTGTAAACTAGATTGCTGCACAAATATGTTATCTTTTATGCACTTTGAAAATACAGCTATCATAATCAAGCAAAATGTATTAAGTGTAAAATTGTGAGGGTAATATTTTGTATACTCTTTTGAAGGATAATGCACTGCATTCTTAAGATTCTCATGCATATACTATAGAATATCACATATAAGATTTTTGTAGATTCAGAGATAAAAATGAAATAGAAAAGATATTTAATTAAGATATTAACCAATTCAAGGAATTTTTTCAAGGAAGAATTTTCCATGTCAAAGTTAGAAACACTAGTCTGAACTCATACTAATGACAACATCTTCTATCGCTAACATTCTTACTTAAATGGAGTCTTATACAGATGTTTCCTAGATATGATCCAAAATGTGAGAAGGGAATAAAGCAATGAGAATTATTTTGGGGAGATACTGCAGTACTGGTAGTTAAAAAGGGTAAATAAATAACTGGCCGGGCACAATGATTCACTCCTGTAATTTCAGCACTTTGGTAGGCTGAGGGTAAAGAATTTCTTGAGCCCAGGAGTTTGAGTACAGCTAGGCAACACAGTGAGACTTCACCTCTACAAAAAAATTAAAATTAGCCAGGTGTGGTGGTACATGTCTATAGTCCCAGCTACTCGAAAGGCTGAGGCAGAAGTATTGCCTGAACCCAGGAGGTCGAGGCTGCGGTGAGCTTTTATTGTGCCACTGCACTGGGCAACACAGTGAGACCCTGACGATAGATAGATTACATAGATAGACGACAGACAGACAGACAGACAGATAGATAGATAGATAGATAGATAGATAGATAGATAGATAACTGAGTATCATGGTATATTTACTATTAAAGTTATTAGCAAGTTGATTGAGTTTGCTACTAAACTTTCTCAAATAGCAACATAATATGTGTATAATGTCCCTTTGCTACCAAAACTCATTTATGTAATTTTTGTATGGTCAGTAAGTAGCTAGATTTGGCAAATCAATGCCTTTTTTTTTTTTTTTTGTTGGAGTCTTACTCTGTAACCTAGACTGGAGTGCAGTTGCATGCTCACAGCCACCCAGCGTACACCTGCTCTGGTGATCCTTCCGCCTCAGCCTTCCAAGTAGCCGCAACTACAGACGTGCGCTGCCACGCCCTACTAATTTTTGATTTATTGTAGAGACGAGGTCCCATCAAGTGTCCTGGACTGATCTTGAACCCTCGAGTTCAGGCAATTCACTTGCCTCAGCCTCCCAAAGTGCTGGGATTACAGGCTGAACCACCGAGCCCAGCCCAATGCCATTTGTGAATGATGATTTTGATATTATTTTTTAATATTTATCTTCTAAAATTTTGCCTGGTCAACTGTGTGCTAAATGACAATGAATAATGACTTTCTCAAAAGTCTTTCTTTACAAATATTCTTTACCCAGGTGAGAATCAAATAGACTTACACTGTGATTGGAAACAACTTGTAGATACATAGATCAGAATTTTTACATTAAACTGACACTGTTTTATTGTTGTAGCATAGTCTTGAAATATGTCATAAACTGATATAAAATACTTTCTTAACATCAAGGCAATAACCTAAGAAAACCTGAATATTCTGAAATATCACTGTCAACAAAGGAAAATAAATTAGTTTAGGCCTCATCATTTCTTCAGTATAGTATTTTTAAAATGGATAATGTGAGATTGTCTAATATTACATGTATTATTCTAGAGATAAATTATTTGGAAACAAAAATAAAATAAAATAATTGTTTTAACATAATTGAGATATTTTATAGAATTTATTAAGCATATCAAGCTTAAGAATATTTACACATGCAAGAAAATTATATTGCTTTACATATTTTGAGGGTATGCTTTGTTGCTTAGCATTTTTAAATTGGTATTATTTATGATAATTTCCTCTTTTCTATTATATGATGACCTTTTTCTTTATAAATACTTATGGAGTTTTTTTCTTAGAGTTATTTTTGTTTTATTTATTTATTTAATCTTCCCCCTTATTCTTTATGTTGTTTTTATTTGATTTACTCTCTATCCTCAAGGCTACTTTGCACATAGCAGCTTCTTAAATGTTTGACTTTTTATTTATAATATGTATTACTATTTGCATTTATATTAATATTTATAGAGTAACTTTCTTTTGTTTAGTATTCTGATATTTTTTAAATCCTTAATTTTCATCTCTAATTTTGAAATAGCCTAAGAATCTTGGTTTTTATTTTTTATTTATTTTATTTTATTTATTTATTTTTTTTGAGTTGGAGTCTCACTCTGTTGCCCAGACTGGAGCGCAGTGGCTGCTCCCGGCCACCACAACCTCGACCTTCTGGGCTCCGGCGATCCTTCTGCCTCAGCCTTCCAAGTAGCTGGAACTACAGGCGCGCGCTACCATGCCTGGCTAATTTTTTGATTTATTGTAGAGACGAGGTCTCGCCTGCCCACAGGCTCAGGCAATTCACTCACCTCAGCCTCCCAAAGGCGCGGGATTACAGGCTGAGCCACCAAGCCTGGCTGGAATCTTGGTTTTTAAGCAAGCAAATTGAATCCTATATCATTTACAGTGAATGACAAATTTGGATATATTTTTATAATTTTATTTTTATTTTTTATTTGTAGTGATTTTTCTTGTTAATCTTCACCCTAACATCTGTCCTGAAAATTTTGGACTGCCTTTCCTGTTTTATTCTTCAGATTTTCAACATTTCCCATTTATTTCTTTTTTCCTTTCATTTTTTGCAGAGAGGAGTCTTTCAAATTGTGTGGCATATTTGACTTATGAATTTAAGGTATATCAATATCCACATTTAGCCTAAAAATATAAAGATTTTTAGACTCTTATTTTGATTAATTTTATCATTTATAAGTTTTAAAAATAGTACTTTTTGGAATTTAAATATTCTTGAAGACTGAAACTTTGTCTAATTTTGTTTTGCATCTTTGAAGATGTTCATAAAAGGTACTTCATAAACATTTTTAAAAATAATCAATGAAACAACTTTCCTAATTCTCAAGTAGTTAAAATTTTATATACTCGTTGTTTAACCTAATCTGTTTATGTTAATCTTAAATATTTTATCATTCCTTTTGAAATAAGCAGTATTTTAACTAACTTGAAAACTTACTGAAAAAATGTTATTGTTTAATTTTTCTTAAGTTGTTTCTTATGTTCCCATTTACTCTTTATGAAGTACATCCTCAAGGGTACTTTGCCTATAGACACTTCTTAAATGTTTGTTGTTGTTTTTCTAAGTACAAATGCTTTTTAACTACATTTCCTCTCCAGGCATAACTTGTTGCTTGGTTAGCATTTTTAATATGATTTTTTTCAAAATTAATTTATATTTCATGAGCAACTTGTTAGTTTATCTTTGAAGTAAACTAAAGCTTAGTGCTTTTTTCTTATTACTTAATGTTGTATTAGATGATGATGTGTCCCTAATACTATTTGACTACTGTCAAGCTGTTCTGTCCAAGTATTGAAAAATTATCTTGGTTTGAGTTGCTTCTATAACATAATTAAAATTAAAAGTTTATGTGAGATTTTAATTTTTAAGAATTAATTTACCAGCTTGCTCTCTATAATAATTCTGATTAAAATACTTTGCTTAGTTTACTTTTATAAATAATGTCTCTTTTTTTTATTTAAGGAAATGCATGGTATCATTTTCATGACTGGTTAAATATATAGGTGCACT